TTAATTGAAAATTATATAATATCATATAAATTTTATTTATTAATTTTTTATTATATATCATTTAACACATTGAAAAAATAGATACATAATCTCAAAGACATCATTATACTAAAATCTTTCCTTTCGTGAAAAGTCACGATCATATGGTGGTAGGTAATTCAGTTGGCACTGACGATTAACTGATGCCAAAGTAAATGAATTATTAAAAGACATTTTTTGCCCATTTTGTGAGAGAGACCAAAACCGATCCTTAAAATTTAGATGTTGCCAATTGCATTAATTTCCGAATTTTTTTTATATTGATCCCCTGAATTGATTACAAGTACCCTCTTCACTCGATCCATGAGACATCCTGCAATGCACTAGGTAATAAAGCTATGAGTTGAAGTTTGGTTTCCAAGTTACCAAATCCAAATCTTCTAGTAAATGAAACAACCAAAGAAGTTAACTTCGATATGATTCAAATTAAGTCAATTATTAGTACCCGTTTTTTTTAATCAATCATTAGTACCAGATTTGATTTCCTCTGCTAATACATATGGACATGAAGAACGATTAAAAATCTATATGGGTACTATTGTCGTTAACTCTTTGAAATGACAATAGAATCAAAATGCTCAAGATTGAAGATGACTAGATGAGAAGGAAATTTCTGTAAAATGAAGACTGTGCTATAATAAGATAATTACTTGTGAGAGTATTGTGTAGCTTATCCTTGGATGGGCTAGGAAGTGGTATTTATATAGGATATTGGAAGAGGAATAAGTTATTAGAGAATATTAGAACACATTTTTTAAAACTCATTTCATTCCATTAATTGAGTATTATGAGGATGAAATTTTAGTTTTCTACCGAACTCTATAAGATTTCATAATTCCTGAATTTGATCTTTAGTGAGATAAGAGTTGGTTAATGTAGTATTAAAGAGTATATTGAACAATGTATTTAACATAATTTTATATATTTCAATAACACAAACAACCATTCAAAACTTCAAACAAATTAAATGTATAATTAGAGAAATAACTTAAAGTAAACTTCTATTATTACATCATTAATCTAAAAAGGTATCATAGCAAACAAGATGGTGGGCACAGTAGAGAAGGGGTAGTGGAGAGGAGAGGTGGAAGTAAAATTAGGAATTAGTTGATGTCCAATGACGACAAAGGGAACAATTCGGAATTAAAAAAAGAATGAGTGGCATATACACTTGAGAATATTTATTGTGGTATTTAGTATGATTTAATGCATTCCATTTGTCTATGCAAGCTCTTAATGAAAACTTTGCCTAATCTTTATAGGACAAAGCTGGACCATTTGGACCATTTACCATGTCATGTCTCCTCTTTAAATGAATCACTAGCTCAATTTCAGCATGCTCTATTAAGCTTTACGCAATCCCTATAAAAATCCCAAGTTTCCCCTGTAAGCAAGCAAGTAGAGTGCGAATCATATCTTTAACTTTTGTACTTCTCCCATGCATTGCCACAACCACCAACTTTTCTTTGTGCTCTTTTTGAACTCAAGCTTTGTTTTAATCATTCATGGGGTCCCAAGCCACACTACTCTCAGTAAGCATAGCTTGATGAAGACAAACTACCCGTTTAACTACCTAGCCAAATGGGCCATGGAATTTTCAGAACACCAACTACCTATTTTGTTCTTCTTATTCTTTTATGGTCTTTTTCACGTGTTTTTAAAATATTAAGAACGTCCTTTAGGACTTCCTGCCCTTGGGATCTTCTATTATTTTAAGGATTTGTGTTTCTAGATTATAATTTGCTGAGGATTTAAGAAAGTGTTATATATATGTTGTAACTTTTTATTAAATTTTAAAATATATAATGCATTAATAATATTAAATATTATATTTTTTTAATAAAATTTTTATTGGGTGTCTTTAGAGACACGTTGAAATTTTTATTATATAAAATAGTAAAAAATTATAAAAAGGATAAGTAAGAGAATATAAACAAGCTCTGAGTAATTCTCAGTGGTGTTGAAGAAATCAACAAATGATTAAACATTTTTTGCTGTGAGAAAATAAAACTGTTAGTGTAGGGTAGGTACCATATGCATGAAATGATGATTGCGATTAAGAGTCACAAAAATTATGGTTTATTAAACTGCTGACAATTTACGAAGACCACAATTTCTGGCACTAGAAATCATTATCATTAACTACTGATTAGTTAGAGTCGGGGAAGATTATTAAAATTGATATTTTAGTCTAATGTATTTGTTACTGTATAATTAAGTTAATTAATGATGGCCTGTGGCTGCTTGTATCACACACCTTTCCCCGTCTGTAAAATGCAGAATTCTTATTCTCATCGAACTCTTTCAATTTTACTGAATTCATGTGCAAATAAGAAATCTTTACCATTATAAAAACATATATAATTTCTCCATTTACTTATATAGTTACGTCAAATTATCTCTGACGATAGAATTCTATCATCATTTATAATCATTTTAGTGTACAAGTGAAAATTTTATGAATCACACACACACACACTATTAGTTTGAAACTAATGAAAAAAATGTTAGTTGTTAAGATTGTTTTGTTTAATGAAAACTAAATCATTAATATAAATACTATGGAATTATACTAACAATCTGATGAATTTTATTAATATGTGATATATTAATATTATGATGAATTATATTAAATGCTCAGTCACTTTAATGCACATTGAATAATCACACATCAAGTTGAAGACATTCATTATTTTATGACGAGATTGTTGGCATAGAACCATGTATCTGTTTTTAATTATAAGAGGCAATTATATTTGAACAAGAAACATTTATAGTACATAAGATTTTTATTTTTTTTTCACTGGGAGAGCTTTATGACAATTTTAAATATTTTTAAGGATTATTAAATGAATTAAATTTGGGTAAGTATTAATTTAGCATGATGAGTACATTTAACATCTAATTAGGTGTGGATAAATAAAAAGACACAAGAGTCAGGTTAAAAAAATTCAAATATCTTATTTTTTGAGAAACAAACTTATGTTTATAGAAATTCGCTTACTAAACGAAATTAAATTAAGGAAATAATGTTGACGGTTCAAAATATTCAATTAGAAGAATTAACTAAAAAAAGCTGGTAAGAAAATTAATATTAAAATATATTTGAAAAAGGGGATAGGGATATAGTTTTTGTATACGACAGGACAATTTTATTTTTTTTTGTCATCATATACGATATGGATTGAATCATGTTTCTTACAATTTTTTTTTTTGTCAACAGTGTTCCTTACAGTCTATGTGACTATTTTTTTTCTAAAAGGGAGAATTGTAAGAGACTATGTGCAGCCCCATAAGAGATGAGGGCCAGGCCCATAGTGTTCTGAAATCTAGAACGGAACGGATCCAAACAAAGCCGACAAAAGGGTCGGGGCTAGGAGGATTGAAAAAAATATTATAAATTTTTGTTAACCTTTCTACTTTTAAAAATATAAATTTTTTTCATATTTATAAAAACATGAGACTATTACATCTAATATTGATGTTATATAATTGCTAATCAATAATTAATCGTTATTTTTTAAATTAGTAAAATAATATTTTCTAAGTGAAAATTTTTGATACATTAAGCAACTCTTATATTTTATAATTGTATGATAGTTAATTATCTTTTATTTTAATTTTTTTTAAGTTAAACAAATGTTAAAATGACATTAAATTAATATGAGAACAAATAAAAAAATTATTTATAATTTTATATTTTTATCTTTTCAAAATTAAGATAAATATTATTTATAATTATTGCACTAAAAACTTAATCATATAAATTATGGATATAGATTTTTTACAATTTTCGCACTAACTGCAGGACTTGGAGTGTATTTTTGTTTAAGAAAAGATACAATATAACATTTTATTCTTCTCTCTCCCATTTCTTCGGCTCCTTTCTTTCTTTCTATTCAGTCTCTTATTTTCTCTTCCACTCAGCTTTTACTCATTTCCTTCTCTCTTTCCTTCCCTCTCACCCAATCTTTCATCCTCTTCTTATCACTTAGCTGCTCTTTCCTTTTCTTTTAGTCCCTTTCTCTTTCTCACCTATCATTCTCCTTCTGGTTTTTTGAACTCCTTCACTTCTTCCTGTCCTTTCAATCCAGTCACTTTCTCACTTAATCCCTTTTTTTCTTTTTCTCACCCCACCCAACTCTCTTCACTCAGTTCCTCCCTTTCTCCCTCTCCTTTCAATCTAGTCATCCTCTTCCTTTTCATACTTAGTTTCTTTTATCCTTCTCTCCTATCCTACCCAACCAACCAGCTAACCTTAGCTCTCTTTTCCTCTACACTCTATTTTACTCATCTTTCACTCAAGCAAAATTTTTTATTTTTACTTAAGCAAATTTTAAGGCTTAAAATAAAAATTACTTTTTATTTATTTTACTTAAATAAATCTATTTTTATTTAAGCAAAAATATACTGCAAATTGCAGTTAGCGCTAAAACGGTAAAAAATCTGAACCCATAAATTAATATTATTATATACCAATAAAAGAGATTAAACTAAATATTATGTTTAAAGTGACGAGTGATGACAATAATTATAAAAGATTCATTTGTTATATTATTAATTTATTATTTAATTTTTTAAATTAAATTCATAAACCCAAAATTCATTCTCACATTAAAAAAAATAAATATAAAGAAAATATTAATTAACATTATATATATATAAATAAATAAAATAAAAAAAGTTATTATATTTAAATATAATAAATATTTTGTATTTTTTAAATAAAAATTTATTACAATATGGAGGGAGGTTTCTCAGCTCTGGCCAATGGGGGAGGTTGAAGGGGACGTGGCAATTCCAGTGAAACGCGAGAAGAATAAGAGGGCTCCACGTGAACCTGCTCCATCAAGGATATAAATGTCTTTTTAGGGTGGTGTTCGTTTGCGGTCAAAACTAAAAAGATAATAAAAAAAAGGGGTTTAAGATTAAGGTTTGAGGACACTGTTGCGTGGTTTTTGGTTGGTAGTTTATTGGTGTTGGTGGGTTTTTGTCCTTTCAAACTCTAACTCTATCTTCTTCTATCCAATCTTCTTCTTTCTCACAAAAATTAAAATTAAAATAAAAACGAAAACTTGAAAGTGCAAGAGAGAGAATGACAACACAATTTTTTTCTTGGGGGATCTACGATTTGAAGTTCCATTGATTTCTTTTCCATTCCTGTTCCTGCATTCTCCCGCGGAAATGTTTTTCCCTTCAAATTTCGTTATTTGATTGCAATTCAGGTGAGTTTCATATTAAGGATTCTGAATTTCGCTTCTGTTTCTCTTGTTGTCCCTGCGATCTCGTGGTTTTTGTGATAATTCTGCATAGTACTCGTTGAAGATGCAGGATTGTGATATTTCTGATTATTTTTTTTTAAATTTGGGTTTTTGAGTCATGAAAGTTTTGAGATTATGAGGTTGAGATCCGATCATGGAAGTTATGCCATGTTTCATGTTCAACTGGGTTTTCATTCATTTCAATTCTAAAGTTTTGATTTTTTTTTTGGGGGGACATTTTTTGGAGGGGTGGTTGAATTTTGGAGAGTCTTCTTCATGTTGTTGATTTGGCCTGAATCTCTGCTAAAGGGTGCATAAGATTAAATTTGAGAATCATAGTTGGAATGTTTAGTATTGATCTGGCAAAGTTAATGTTCACCCACTTTATGCAGCTTTATAACTCTTTCTGGTTTTGCATGTGTTGACTTTTATGTCATGGCCCCTCAACTATTTAAAGTTTGTGTGATTTTTCTTTTCTTTTAAATTTGTGGTTTTATCCATGAATAATTTAAATGCGATTCATTATGTACGTATCTTGGGCAACGGCCATGAAATCTAACTAGTTTTCGTGCAATTCATTAGCATTGTATTTCTGCGCGATGGTTTTTCCAAGTTATCTATTTGCTAAGATGTGGATTCATCTGCATTCGTGAATCTATAGGATGTTTACTCGAGTTGTTTTACTTCGTCTTAATTGCTGTTTGTGTTTTCATTAGAGGCAGATATGGTAATCAAACGATTGGATATGTTTCTTCTTTAGTTATTTTTTCACCGAGTTTGCTCATCTTTTATGCTAAATAATATTGTGGTTTGTGATTCTTCTTTTTGCCTTCCTGCTGCATCAAGAGAAAATCTTAATTGTCTCCTCGAAATATATATAGAGATAAAATTTTCCCCTAATAACGAAGCTTATGTTGTTCAAGTAGCATATCTTTAGTTTTTATTTTTATATATAAAATACCAATAAATGTTTGGTAAATAATTATTTTCGTTTTTTAAAAAGTGACTTTCCTTTGTAATTATTGCAAACATCTTAATACAACGGTAGTATGATACTTGAACATTTAGATTTCTGAAAATTTAGTTTTCGATTGAGCTTAGTGGCATCTATGTAGCTTACAGCTTACCTCACCTAGTGGGATAGACTTGGTGGTTGTTGTTGTACCCAATGTTTGGAAAAATTATGAAAATGAAGTTGATACATAGGTCTTGCTTTTATGACAGTGATGAGTATCTGGCATCCTGATGTTTCTGGTTAATTGATGAGTTACATATGTTCATGCTATGGTGTTGAAGAGAAGGCTTGATTATGGGTTCAGGGGCTTTCAAGTCCCCACTATACCTAGACATCCTAGATCTGCAAGAGTAAGTGAATGCTGCAATTAATGCAATTGTTTATTTGGTTTATGATACTGTGTTTTGAACTCTATTTTACTCAAGTTCAAAATTGTTCAGAGGAGGGTTGCTTTCAAAAAACCATTTGAGGATGGCCAAGCTTGTGCTTTTGATCTACTGGCATCTTTAGCTGGCAAGTTGTTGCAGGAGGGTGAAAGTTCTGCTTCCAGCAATGCATCTGAAGGAAATCATCAACCTGCCTTTAGCCAATGTATGGAGCATGAAAAGCACAATGAAGTAAAACTATCAACAGAAGAGGGTAACCATAATGGATGTTGTGCAGAGAGTATTTTTATGACAGAAGTGGGCTCACAAAATTGTAGTGAGAAACCTCTTGAGTGTGTTGAGGCTGATAGTGTGTCAGAATGTGTTTCAGCTAAAAATAGTTCAGACTGTTGGGAAGAAGTTGAAGCTGAAGCTGGTATGAAGTCTGAAATTTTAAAGTGGAAGAATAAGTTTGGACATTATTCTAATGGATTAGTAGAAGTACCTGAAGATCAGGAAGCTGGCAGTTCAGACTTCAAGCAATTATATATGAACAATAAAGTTATTTTGAAGGATCCATTGGAGTTGTGTATTAACTCTCCTGCACTAGTTGACTCAAACAGTGACATTAAATCTCCATTTTGTACAGAACTGTTTCCCAATGCTTCCTTTTCTGGGCATGGGACTGATATAAAGTTAGGTTTTACAGATGATGACGAAAACTTTACAAGGTGCAACAAAGTTTGCACCAAGTCAAAAGCTTTTAGACCTCCACAATGCATTGCTCATCGCATAATTAGGAAACGGTTGACTACCAAACCCTGGAAGGTTGCACCAAAGTTGAAGGACTGCGAACATTCTAGTTTTGGTAGGGTGGTTAACTAGTTGTCTGCTATCAAATTCTTCATTATCTGATGCATATTATGTCTATTGGTTTGGTTGATTTGTTTTTCACTGAATAGTATACAATTTGCAGATGAGCGAGTAAAAACTCTGAATCGTAAGAGGAAGACTTGTTACAGTTTTGAAAGATCTCAGCATTACACGCATTTCAGGAGAAGGAAATTTTTTGACAGGGGTTCAGTGATAACTTCTGATGGAGGACTCAGCAGTGAGAGTGTATCTGATTTACCTGAGAAAGGAACTGATGGAAATAACCCTAGCTCATCTGGAAAACCTCAAGTACCTAAGGATTCTCATGGTAATTAATCACTTGGCGTTCATTAGTTTTGGTTAGCTCAATTGTTCTTCACAGTTGCACCCTATAGGACTTGATGTTCTGTCCTTATGTACAGTGAAGTTTAGCATCAAGTCATTCAGGATACCAGCACTTTATGTTGAGGTTCCTGAAACTGCAACTGTTAGCTCATTAAAGGTATCAAATATATCTCTAATTTTATTTTATAAAGAATTGTTAATGTTGTCATTGAGCCTAATCCACTGATTGAAGTGGCTGCGAAACATCCTTTCTTGTTAATGTAATTTCATTTTTTACAAATTTTTTGTAGAGGGCAGTCATGGATGCAGTGAAGACTATACTTGGAGGTGGAGTGCATGTTGGTGTTCTTGTTAAGGGGAAAAAAATTAGAGATGACAACAGAACTCTTCTGCAGACTGGCGTATCTTGTAAAGAAAATCTGGATAAACTCGGTTTCATGTTGGAGCCTAGTTCCTTTCAAGCTCCTGCTGTTTGTGTTGGTGATGCTTCTAAATGTGAAACATCTCAGCCTTCAAGGTGAGCCAAAGTTAATAACCCAGTTTCTTTTCTTCACCATAGTTGATTTATGGTGTGACAATTGTGATTAATAGACACCCTTCGATTATTGGTAAGAAATAAACTTGTTTCTTTCTTTGTTCATATGATGAAATTTGATTATGGTTCTGCTCTAGTCAATTGAATGTGCCCTCTCATATAAAATTACTATTAACATAATTTAATTTTTTCTAGGTCCCCAGAAACTCCTGTCTTTGATTCAGGGGTTGCCAATGCCTTACAGGATTCCTCCTTGCTGACAAATACTGCCAACCTCATTGAAATTAACCATGAGTCCACTTTTCCCACCACTGACGCCATAGGTGATAAATTAACACCAGATTCCAGAGCGCTAGTTGTTGTTTCAGATAGGAGTCCAGAAGCATTAGCTGTGGTTCCTGTGAATCAGAAAACCAGGCGTTCTGAGCTTGTACAGCGTCGAATTAGGAGACCATTCTCTGTGGCTGAAGTAGAAGCACTTGTTCAGGCAGTTGAGGAACTCGGAACTGGAAGGTTTGTTCTTTATCAGGCTCACCTGCATATAGACAATTGACAATTAGACAGGGAAACTGGGTTGCTGACAGTGGATTCACCATGCAGGTGGCGTGATGTAAAGTTACAAGCTTTTGAAAGTGCAGACCATAGGACTTATGTTGACTTGAAGGTACTCCCTTTCATATATCAAAGTTTTCTTAAACTTAAAATTGATTACTTAAAATTACTAGGAAGACAACACAAACTAGGAATTGGAGTTGCTTGTGATTAATTTGCGAGTTGTTTCATTGCTTTACAGAATTAAATATTACCACTTATCACTATATTGGTTGGATTCATGTTTCCAGTTTGATTCTACAGCTCTCTTCCATTGGAACATAGGATACTGTGATTAATTTATTTAGTTCACCTCAATTTCTGTGTTAGAGGTTATAAATAAAAAAGATTCTCATTTGTATGGGTGATGGCTAATATCTTGTCCACAGCATTATACTTAGTTGCGTTATTACAAGATTGGTACATTTGCATTGAATATCTTTAAGAACATGACACTAAGGCATGTGTTATAATGCTAGCATTATTTAATAGCTAAAGATTTGACCTGTTGATGTGCGCAGGATAAATGGAAAACATTGGTGCACACTGCAAAAATCTCTCCTCAACAAAGGAGAGGAGAGCCAGTTCCCCAAGGGCTATTGAACAGAGTTTTAGCTGCACATGCTTACTGGTCTCACCACCAAGCCAACCAGCATGGCAAGCATCAAGCTGAAAGACAGTGTTGATGGTATCCAACAACCACTTGTGAATTGTGATGACATGGTGTAGAAAAAAGTTAACATTGTTGACTTGCAATTGTTGAAAACAAACTTGTACATATTGAATCAATTCCGTGTAATATATCCTCACCAAATTCATTGCTGGCCTTTAATTAATTGCAATCAGGTTGGCTTTTGTAAATGATCTGAAGGAATAAGATTTTTCTGACTGGAATTTAGCTGCTTTCTTTGTTTCTTTTAATTTAATTTCATGAATGTAAGTAGGAATGTCAAAAGAACATGACAGCACAACAATGGAAAATGTTTTCCTTGTAATTATATCTTATTCTGTTTCTGTTAATGCAGCGACTGCCTGGGTTCCACTTTGATGTTTACTTTCCATTTCCTGTTCTTTATTTTTTCCGCTTCTCTTTTGGATTTATATATTCATTTATGCCTGCTTGATAATGACTACCTTTAACTGAAGATTGATGATTTTTTTTCAAAATTTGATAACAAGGATGAACTTGAATCTGTATTTCGTTGGTGGTTGACTGCTACCAACCTAGCTATTTGCTTCTTTTTTTTTAAAATAATTATTTATTGATTTTTTAAAACTTTAAAGATTCATGAAAATTTAATAATAAATTTAATTAAAAGTTATAACATTTAATGTTTTTAATATATTAAATTAAGTGATATTATATAATTTTTAATAATAAAATTATCATGCATGTGTGATGTGCGTTGAAATAACTTCTGTTTAATTAAAACAATATAATAATCACTTGTCATGTGGCATAGTGATTATCTAGTATTATCTACTCATTTCTATTCACTCTTCAAGTTTTATTAAAAACTATATAATGTAATTCAATATATTAATAATATTAAATTATATAATTTTAACAATAAATTATTATAAATTATTTTTTATAATATTATACGGATATATAATTTCTAAAAATCTTGTTAATAAGTGTTTTAAAAATATAAGTTAAAAAATAATTTTGATTAAGATTTATGTCAAAGTGCGTTAAAAACTACGAGGTTAGTGTATTTATTATTATTTTTTTGACAAAAAAGCATTTTTAGTATTTGTGAATTTGTATAGTATAATTTTTTTAAAAAAGTAAAAAAGGCACGAGTGGTATTCTTAAACCTTAGGCTTGAACCCTTGGTCAGAGGCGTTAGGGAACGGAGAGATGGGTGTGAGTGGAGCACCAGATTTCTTCTACAAGGAGGCTCAACGGCTCGGCTACGTGGCTCGCTCAGCCTTCAAGCTGCTTCAGATACAGAAACAGCACAAGCTCATCAACCCCGGCTCTTCCGTTCTCGACCTGGGTTGCGCTCCCGGCGCGTGGCTTCAAGTGGCCTGTCAGAGCCTGGGCCCCATCCACAGCGGCGGCTCCGTCCTCGGCATCGATGTGAAGAAGCTGAAGCCTCCCCCTCTTCACTGCGATTCTAGGGTTCGAACCATCTCTGCAGACGTCATGAACCTCTCTCACAATCAACTCAGAGATCTCTCTCCTCACAAAAATGGCTTTTCTGTCATTCTCTCAGACATGTGTCCCTTGGTTTCTGGAATCACTACAAAAGACGCCGCTTTGTCTTTTGAGTTAGGGATGCGAGCGGTGGATTTGGCTCTTGGTAGCAGAGTTTGTCCAAGTGAAGAAGAGAATGGAGAAGGAGAAGAAGGAGTGTTGCAAGTTGGAGGGAACCTTATTATAAAGCTTTTGGAGAGTGAAGATGCCAAAGGTTCTTCCTTTTTCCTTAACTAATTGAATAATAATATTATTAATATGATTTGACTGATAATGTAATTGTTTTCTGCAGAAATCAGCCACATTTCTAAACCGTTCTTTAGGAAGTCTTCATGGCTCAGACCTAAAGCCACAAGACCTTCGTCCAGAGAGATCTATTTGATTTGTCAAGGTTTAAAGCCACACAACGCCAACATTTAGATTCTTCTAATTACTCTACTTGTCAAGTTCATGATTTTTCTAAGTCAGGGTGTAAGTAAATGTTTAACATTGTAATTGCTATTAATACATTTCAAAATTGCTCACATTTAATAAAATTTCAAAGCATTTCTTTGAGTCAGTTTTTATGATTCCATAACAAATCCTTACAACTTTGTTTTGGTGTAAGGATTTCAAACGGAAAAACGAACACATATTTAATCGGTTGATATTCAAGAAGTAGATGTTATTCACAAGACTGAATATTAGCAGTAGCATCGTGCTTTTGTTGACGTTCTGGTTCCAGCTTCAGCAAAGGCAAGGCAATTGGCTATACTACAGAAGAATGGTCGAAAATTCTATACTACACAATACTGTACAGTGGGATCAATTATAACGTATATTGCAGTTGATAACCGCGAAGCCAGTCTTCACCTTTTTCATAGTAGTCCAGTCTACTGAAAGTTTGCTTAAGGAACTGTGAGGCTGACGCGTAGGAAGCAGCCCCACGCCATGCATCCATGACTGGATCCAATGCTCTAACAATGTTTATAGGTGCACCACATGGTCTAATCATCCGAATTCGAGCTTCAAGGCGTTCAATTATACCAGGGAAAAGAGAACTTCCACCAGTAACAAGTATGGAACTAGTCAGTCTGTCTTCCAAGCCTTCATCCTTGCATGGTAGTCTCTTTAGTGAGACCCCAGCCATCTCGTCTAATCCTCCCTGATCAATCCCAATCCAATTTGGATTAAACAACAATTCAGGGCATCTGAATCTTTCAACCCCAAGAACAATCTGAAAATCTTCTTTGGTCAGAGGACGAAAACGTGGCACCTCAGCAGGTTGAAAGGTACCGACTTCCAAATTGGGTATAAATGTTGGATCCAAGTCCTAACAAAACAATTCAGAAAGGTTTTTCCGTGAATTGTCCGTTGAGACCCATATACAATTTGATCTTGTACAAGAATGCAAACATAGATAATCATAAAATTAATGTGAAATAACCTGGAGCCTGGAGGAGATGCGGGCCAGCTCTGCCTCATCCTCGTCGGGTCCATCATCATCATCATCAATATAATCTTTGTTCATCAATTTGTACAGTTGCCAATCTTCATCCGTGGCACCAAATGTATCCTCACCCATGTCACTATCAAAAGCTGCAGTCGACAAGAGGCGCATTCGTTCCCTCTGAGCAGCATTCGCTCTTTCTCCCCGCCCAACACCATCCCACCAATTACTTTCACTCGTATGTCCCCCATCTGTCTTAAGTCGTTTATGTTGGTCAACTTTTTCAGAAAGGTCTTTGTATCTTGCATGCAACTGTTCCAAGTAAAGCTCTGGGTTCTCTCTACAGTAAAGAGACCAAACAAAAAGTTTACATAATAATAATAATAATCATTCGCAGCCAAGTGAAGATTGCATTTGTCCTTTGGACAACAATCATATCCTGGACATAAGTTATTGCAGATAGTACAGCACAACTTTTCCGGTTATCCTTGCCTGCAAAATCCGTATTGGATTCAACATAGTGACCTTCGAACAGAATGTGAGGGAAAACACTTTTACTCACATAAGCAAGCCATAAACAACGTAGAATTTGAAACTTAATAAAGAAATTAAAGCATCAAACACACAGGCGTTTCTCCTCCTCTAATTGTTGTTTTCTCTCTCGTTCCAATTCCTCTTCATAGTGCTTCTTTTTTAATCGCTGTCTCCCGTCAGCCACAGATTTGAGTGACAACTGTTTCCTTTTTCCATTGAGCTGCCAGATACCAATATAGAAAATGCAATGAATATTGTCAACTTCAGAGCACAAAGAAAATCAATGCAAAGAAAATATTTGAAATTTTTAAATCATATTAAGATTGTACGCAAACATGGCTTCCAGGAGAATTTGCATAGGTACACTCATCACGTTTAAGAAAGCTTTATTTCCTCTAAAATCTCTTTTTTGTAAATTTATTTTTAAAAAAAAAAACTACTTTCAGAAAGCCGACAAAAGAAAAAAAATTGATTATTTTCCAAAATAAGTTGAAAGTGAGGCTGTGAGGGAATACAGAGCTCAATTTAGTGATGCATGTAATCGGCTATTTTAACACAATAACAGACCTGTTCTGGAGTCAACATGTCATCGGGAATGTTTATAAGAGAATACTTTTCATTTGCGTCAAGATCAGCCTTTTCAGTTTCATCTTGTTCATTGTTTGGTTCACCTTTTGCTTTCCGTAAAGATTGCGTAACTTGACTACATGCAGATTCTATATCCTGCCTAGAGACATAGCCAGTTTCTGCCAGGAAAGATGGAACATCAGTCTCATCCACTTGTTCAAGCTGATGCGAAAGAAACTCCAAACCATGCAATTCATTTTCCAGTTCATTTATCTTAGAAGACTTCTTTGCCTCGGCCATTTCTCGAAGCCTTTGACCTTGTTTCTCTTTTATTGCTGCCTTTCTTGCAACCTCTTCCTCAGAAGGAGGCTCCTCAGTTGGAGGTGGAACCCAGGGGAGCTGCCAATATTTGGTTATTTCTTCAGCCTCCTTGGCTCCTTCCTATTACATCATTTATGAAGTTTTAGAAACAGTAAAGGAACATGGTGTAAAAAGAAGAACAATTTATACCTGAAACAACCGAGCTTCAGAAACATAATCTGGTGCAATGTAACAATGCTCCATCTTCAGGTCTTCAACCTTTTCCAATGTAAATCTTGCCCTGCATTGAGCATTCAATAAAATTTAAAAATTCTTCCTATTTAGCATTCAGTTTTGGTATTAGCAGAACCCAGATGATTTGATACTTACGAATGATAAGGATATTTGAGTGAAAGAAGTTGCTTCAAATAATCAGTCACATGGAATCCACCAATATTAGTACGGCAGCATCCTTTGTAAACAGGCTCCCCATCTACAAACTGGAAATTACAAAAAAATAACATTTATTATCAATAATTATAAACACCAACACATTTGGCAAATTTTATCTCAATCGGGTTTAGCAACTCTAATGTTATACAGAAGAAAAGATAGCTAGAGAAGATATTGCATATCCATTTTAATATACTAGTCAGAAGTGATTACAACTTGCCACTGTTACATACAGGTCTCCCCCAACATGCACAATTACTTGTCTAGAAGATTTATTTTTACTTAGCAAAGGCATATGCATGGTGCATAACAAAAGAATTTCCCTCATCACATGATTCACATCAATAAACCTTTGCTCATAAAGACAACAGTCTGTCAAAGACTCAAAAGTTATCCGCAAGAAGATTAATAATATTAACTACTCTAATCAAAATTAGATAATAAATTGATAATATACAACGAGATCATATCTACAAATTTAACCATGTTCAGGTGGATGCTATTACAATAATCTGCAACAGAAATAACAAAATCATTTTCTTGACATATAAATCCTTTAATTCAGTAAATAACAAAAAGCATACCGGAATCACATGGGTTGCGGTGAATCCAGGACACAAAGCAAGACCATCTTTAGCACAAACTCCTTGTTGTTGATTATACTTGTAGCTGAATGCGATATCAACACCAAAGGCTGCCAAAACAGAGAAGCACAAGGCACAACCAACTTTCATAAACAAAGTTACACATATGGCATCTAGCACAAAATTCAGATGTTATGCATCTCCTAAGGGGGAAAACCACTGACAATCAAATGACAAAAACAGGGTACTTTAAGGGCTGTTTGGTTTCAAAAAATGCGTTTTGTTTTCATTTTGTTTCCTATTTTCAAAGATTTGTACAGGAAACACTTAAAACAACTTTTTCTATTTTCACTATTTCTTGTATAAATCTCAATTATTAGAAAACAAAATGAAAACAAGGTAACATTTTTATAATTAAAAATGAAAACAGAAAACGTTTCCATAAATCATATAGGTTCTAAGTTTCACATTGAAATCAGTTTTCTATTGAAGGTCACGAAGTTTTTTTTTTTTTTTTTTAGATTGCAAAGTATTAGTACCAATTGATGGAACTCCATAAGTCTCAAAAAGAAGTTCTGCCATTTTACAACGAGATTCAACTGGGTTGCATACACATTCTGTGATCAGGACAGGATGATCAATCTGCTCTGGCATTAAACATTAAAATTAAAAAGAGTGAGTCAACTACTCAAATCCCAAAAGCGTCAAAAAGGGAAGAATCTGTATTTACTAAACCAAAGAACTGTTCGGTGCCAAAACAAGGCCATTAAGTTCTACTTCTAGCACACCAAATTTATAGTATCAACAACACTAACTAAACCATAGAGGAAAGACCTTAAGCTGAACGCTAGGGGAGGAAGAGAAAAATGAAGCACTTTTCCACCTATTACCATACCTCAGATCCATTTGCACCCATCCGGTCAAATGCAAAATCAAGAATCTATACGTCATTAAATAAAATGTCAATAATGCTATCCTTAAGTTCATCTAAAATAATGAAATATACAAGTTAAATTCATGATGAGAGGTAGTTTACATATTCCATAGTTTCAAACTGGTAAACCACATTGTTGTCAAATGCTGAGCATGGCCCAGAGCGAGTGCAGTCAAAGTATTTCAGTAATGCCGGATCAGGGTCACCCACAACAGTGACAGTTTCCCCTGTGTTGCACAATGTGAAAGAACAAATATTCAATAGGCCACACAATTGTTAGCAAGCAAAAAGTACCAATGTCAGGACAGAAATTGTCCTAAATAATACAGATATTAATACAGAAATATCAAACATATATTAGACCTATTTTTTAGCAAATGAAAGAATATCCAAAACAAAAGATGCACATGAACAAAAGCAACAGAGAACTAATATAAATATTAACGCCAAGACACAAGTGCTAGCCTATGCCCTAGGAAAAACAAGGGTAAAAAGTATTTCTTGACAAAAATATATTTATTATACTGAAAGCACAATTTATTAGGAAAATATTAAATCAATCCTAAGTTTTTATTAGAAAAAATAATGTTACATTAAAAATACAAAAAAATATATATTTTTTTCTAATAAAAAGTAACTATTTTGTATCCTTAAATTTAGTACTCACTTTGACAAAACCGATTTATATTTTAGGATCTTGTAAAAGGACTCTGGTTAAAGAATTAAAAATATTAACTTTAAAAAAATGTTAGAATACTCTGAAAATTAGAAGAGAGATTTCTCAATTACATTTGTTTAACAAAATCTTGTTATTTTTAATTTTTTAACTATTGCCGGACACTAGTTAGCACTTGCCTATATTTTACTCAATTCTTGCTATTTTAAGTAATTAGAATTTAGAAGCCATATCATTAACCAGTGCTACGAGAGTCGATGGCAGGAATCGGTATTAAATAGGTGCATGTTTGCTTTACATCAAAACCAAGTAGATAGTGAATGATTGACAAATAGTATCTGACAGAGTGAAAAAGGAGGGAAAAGCACTCACCAGTTACTTTATGGCGTGGCCTGAGCACAATGTTGCGAAAAATAACGCGAGGTTCAGACTCACCCGCCCATCTAATAATTCACGAGAAACAGAACCAACCTTAACTAACTAGTAACTACCCTTGATTTCCGAAAACTGAATGGAAAAATAATAGTGAAAATTAGGGTTGGTGAGAAGAGAGTACCCAATGCGTAAATAGGAGGCGCCATTGTCGATAACGATAGGAGTTTGGGAACTAAAGTCGTTGAAATCCGATTGGCGATCGATTTTGGAAACGAACGGCATCGTTTCATGAACTGAGAGCGTACCTTCTTCTCTGTGCGTCGGCGATTGAAGAGTGTCAAACCGGTTGGTCTAAACCGAAGCGGTTTGGTTTGGTCGACGGAGAAAGGGTGATTGAGGTAAATCAGCGTCAAGGGACAGCATCAGCAGTTCACACTAGCAGCGTTTTTCTTCGACGTGCTTTCGCTCTCATCATTTTGTGTTTCTTGAATATCTCCGGGGTGGTAGAAGTAGAAAATAACGAGATTTTACTACGCGAGAAATGGTAAAAACGAAAATAAAATAACATTTACTAAAGTTTTCGATATTCTTTTTTATTTTCTGACTTTTCTTTTTATAATTTTAGGTAATTTTTTTGGACCTTTCTTTTTCTTAAAACGAAATGTTGGGTTAGTATATACGTTTAAAAGATTCTTAAAAATATAAAAAATAGTGAACATGGCTTACATAAAAGTTAAGTCAAATGTTAACTTTAAATATATATATATATATATATATATATATATATATAAACTCTTTTTTTTTCGCTACTTTGAACAATTTTAAAAAATAGTGCGATGAAAAACTAGTAAAAAATGAGTAATTCCTCAAAATCAATAGCTAAAGTATAGTTCTTAAATGTATTTTCATTTAGGTTGTTTTAAAATTTTATTCAGTTTGTTAGATAAACAAATGTCTATGTCCTAAGTTAGAAATTATCTTTTCTAAAACAAAAAAAAAAAAGATTATTAAAAAGTGAAAAATAGAAGCCTATTAATTATTAACTTAATGTTTATAAAATACTTAAATGCATATTAATGATAAATAGATATTTATTTTTCATCTTATACATCTTTTTATTTAAAAAGGAAATTCAATCATGTAATTTATATCAAATTATTATTATTAACTTGTAACTATTTCCTAATTGTTTTATGTTAATGTATCCTTAATATATAATTTTGTATAAAATATATATTTTTTACGCAATATTAAAAAATAATTATACTGATTTAACTATTGTTCTGTTACAATTGTGTCAGTAAGCTGAAAATCAATCACTTACTAATTCATGATGGATCCGAATTCATCACTAATCGTGATTCAACGGTATCCTTAATTCCGTAGATAATGAAAATTGTTTCATAATTTTAAGCGTGACATTAGCATGCAGTCTTTGACCATCACCAAAGAATGAACCACAGAAGAGGGAAAGTGCGAGGGTTCTCAAGGAAATAACGCCCATGTATTTTCATAACGACACGTGTATGTACACTTCACAGCATCAGCGTGTATTTTACTCTAACACACCAATACACTATCTTGTATTCATTATTATAGACTAACTGAAAACTAACCACACAACTAACCCAAATATTCAGTTACAACTGAATCTAACTGTACAGTTTCTGTTATGGAAGTTCTTAACAATCCCTTAGTCACGTTTCTTGCGACTTTCCATTTAATTTTATCGATCTCATTTAGATGGCAATCGTATTTAAGAAGACGGGACAGGGATCACGTATTATATGAAGAATAAGTACTTCTGAAAACAAAGTTTTGTTAATCTCAAATTTAATTTAAAAATTTAAAAAAAATATATTTTATATTAGAAATATAAAAATATCATATATTTTTAATATAAATTATTACTTTTAAATGTTTAAATCCCACTTTTTAAAGCTTTGGACAAATTCTAATGGTATTCAAGTGATAAGAAGCAGAGGAATTTGGAATATCACAATAGAATCAGATTCGAAGATTGCCATGCACTTTCTAGATGTTTGCATGCCATCTCATCGATGCTTTTGGCTGAGAAAATTTATGAAGAAAGTTTTTCAAAGTAGATGGACGCATACATTTAGATTGTAAGATCAAGCCTGTATGGTTTTTCAAAGGGGCAGAGGATTGTAATTTGTCATTCACTCCCTGGCCTTTTATCCCCTCTAATACATTAAAAAAAAAAAAAACTTCAATTCTAACATGGTTTGAATGTTATGTGAAATAGGGAGAAAAAAAAAATAAGAAAGTAAAAAATATATTATTTAGGTAGATTAAAATAGAAAAAAAGAAAATAAAATGAAAATTATATATCTTCATTCTTTTAAATAAGTAAAGTAAAAAGGTGAAAAAATAATTAAATTATATTAAAAACAAACACACAAAAATTACAAAATAACTCCAAAAATTATTATTATTATTTATTATCATATATATTCGTAATAAGAAAATATTTTAAAATTTTAATATTCTGTAAATATTTTTCAATGATATAGTTAATTAAAAACCCCAAAAATTCACGCGGATCCTACCCGTGGCATATTCCTCCCCCAGTCTCAACGTTCTCTCCCTCGTACTTCCTTCCAAAATGGAATTATTTTTGTGGGATTTAAAAAATATACTTTTTTCCTCTTTTTTTTTCTTTCTTATTTTCTCCTCTCTTTGTTATTTTTTCTACTTACAAACAAAGCGTAAAAGTTGAGATTGAAAATTCAATAAAAAAAATCGAGTAAATTACTCCATGCCTTCTTAAGATTTATGTATTGGGTTGACGTTGATGTAAGTCAAACAAATTTTATGATAAGTTTACCAGTAAAAATAATTTATTAAAACTACTATGCTTCTTAAAATGTATGAAAATATAACAGAAATTAAAATTTGGCTTATTTGTTTTAATAATAAAATTTATCTTAAAGTTAAAATTATAAACAAGAGAATTATATCTAAAACTAAAATTAATAAATAATTTTTTAAGAAGTTATACAAATTATACTTTCTTTTTTTCTTTGATCTTCTAAATTTTAAATATTTTAATTTGGTATTTACTTTTAAAAATGTTAACAACATTAATTTCGTTAAATTTTTTGTATTTTATACTACATATATTATTTATTTTATTTCTCATCACATTTATGTCTTTTTCTTTTTCTTCTACTTTTTTTCCTATTCTCTTTTGTCCTTTTGTTGCTATTATTGTGTTGGTCATTTTCTCTATTTCTTTAGCTATCACTGCAAAACTCCCATCTTTAATCGTCACTTCTCACTTGAACTATTGAGATATTTAAAAATATGTTCCAATTCCTTTTACCTACAAAGTAAATATTGTTATATTGTGTAACTTCATTTCACCTTTATCAACACTATGACTAAATTTTCTTCTAATATCATCACTACCTTCTTTTTTTTCTTCCATCACTATGACTAAAATTATGTGTACCTATAAATAAAAGAGTTAAAAGAACTAAGAAAGGAGAGAAAGACAAAATAATTATAAGATTATAAGTAAGTAATGGCTATTAACAAATTCTTACTGGCTTACCGGGCATATGGCTCCGTTCAGTGAGACGAGAAGCCTTTAACTTTAACTGCTCCTACACCGACAGGTCCAAGCTATTTTTCAAATTCCCAAGCTTGACAAACAAAAACAGTAGTTGAAAACATACCCCAAAATAAGGTAAACTTGAAAAACGATTCATACTTTATATATAAACAACACATTATAACTATTTAATACATCAAGTGATGTTGTACAAAAATTTTGCCCATTTATCATAACGTCTTCGTTTCTTATTAAAAAAGTAAGAAGCATTACCAGAAACATTAATAAACAATGAAAACATCCACGGCCTAGGTTGTGTTGGCGGTGGTGTGGAGCACAAAAGAAAAGGAGAGCAAGGTCATTTTACACGTGCACCGTCCTTCAACCACACCTTAACTCAACCGGGTCCATGACCCACCGACCCAAAATTCCCGCCAAAACCCAACATGTGGTACAAATTGAAACCTCCCAAACATTCTCGTACATTCCCCTTCACTAAGGAAACCACCACCCAGAATCCTATGCCACTTCCTCCGCGGGCCCCACAACCCACCCACATAAGCCCAAAAAGCCCCTCCTTTTTGCCACGTGGACTCGCTCTAGATTCCACCACACGCTTCCGCAACTCTATAAACAGAACCTTTTCTGTCTCCTTGCGGAGCAAGTTACTCAAGTTCCCCCAAACCTCTTCTTGGTGGTTGCAACTATAAATAACAACACGCGCGCTTCAAACACAAACATTCTTCGAAACATGCCCAAGGACATCGAAGAAGGTTGCCGGACCCCCAAACACAGCGCTTGTCGGATACCCCCTGCGAAGTTATGCCCGCCGGCACCCAAGAAGAAGCCGCCGATTTACCGGCCGAAGCAGAGGGTCCCACCCAAGAACGGTTACTTTATGCCTCCTGACCTTGAGCTCATTTTCAGAGTTGTTCCCACAAGGGAAACTCTTGCTTAGTTCCTCTAACTCTATACTCATGCAAAAACCTTAACCTTTCAGAATTTCACCAATTTAACATTTTAACCTAGTTAGCTTTTTCATTTTCTAGCTTGTAGAAGAAAATTTCAAGTAGCCACCTACATCGTGAGTTTTTCTTTTTTCTATTTATTTAATTTTAACTGGAAAAGTGCGGTACATATATGTTCGTTATTTCTTGTACATCTGGTTAAATCAGTGAACTTATGAGTTATATTTGAAATATCACCCCGAGCAATTATGAATCTCCGTCGTTTGTTTTGTAATATGATTTCTTATTCGTTGCACTTGCTTGAACTGTGGTGTTTGCAATCGCATATCAAATCTCGTACAAAAATTTGGAAGATGGCCAAATAATTTGTTAATTAGCTTTTGACGATGTTTCTATGATATCTGTAAAATAAGCACTAGAATAAACATATTTTAAAATCCGTACGCGCTTTTATGGATGACCCTTTGGTAAAACCCAGAAAGTAATTAACATAAAAAATTGGATAAAAAAAATGGACCTTGTTCTATGCTTTTGACCTTAAACTGTGGGACATACTTGGATTAATTGGCATTCAATGTAGGCACTCTTTCTTCAATTTTCTTTCTCCAGTCATCTCTATACACTGATACGAAAGTTGGTTGAAAGTTGTTGGGGATAAAAAGTTAGTATAAATTTCTGATCAGCGTTATTCATCTTGCTAAATGCTCATCAAAATTTATTTTTATATACACACACGGTACTGTATACATTTGAATAAACTATATGATTAAATAGTTATACTATCTTAATATCAAATTTTATAAATATTTAGTTTTATATTTGATGTTTATTTATATTTTAAAAATAAATTATACATTATAATGAGTTGGACGAATATTATATTATCCGTCAGGTATCTGTACATACATAAAATATACTTTTCTTATTTTAAAATATTATATT